AAACTGCAATAACTTATCTAATAAGGACAAAAAAAAAAAAAAAAATAGCCCCATTTAGTAGCACTTATAGATCAACTTATTTAGCTTATTTGCTTAAAAAAAAAAGACAGCACAATCCCACTTTTGAAGGGAATAGTAGGCAGTAAGTTGCAAGGTGTTCGAGGTTCCTTGGATAGTATGAACTGGGAGAATAACATTTTAGACAGAATAGTGAAAACTTCAGTGACAATAATATCATTCAGGAAAATTTAGCAAAATTGTTATACCTGCCGTAATAACACTGATAAGATTCTACGCGTAGCTTCATGCATTTCATTGTCATGAGCAACAACAAAAGAATCAACCTGTAAATCAGAATGAAAAAGAAGTAACAAGGTAATTTCATTTGCAAGAAACTTAAGTTAAACCATAATAGGATGCATAAGAATCAACCTGTAAATCAGAATAAAAACCCTAACCTTGAGCCCTAGATCAATTTAGATCATAGGGATTCTAACAATCACGGAGATATACGCTCATTTTCAATCAAAGTTTGGGTTCAAAACAACAATGAGACATCCCTCTAAAATTAGAGCTCTAATTGAGCTCTAGTGAGGTTGAAAGTCAAAAAAAAAAAGAAAAGAAAAAAAGGCCAAACATCACATCAAATGGGCCTCACATACACATTAGAGCTATTAGAGCTCACAAATTAGAGCTCCAAAACATTTTTTGATTGAAGAAATAGAAGATAAACAAAAGAAGAATGGACAATGGAAACAACATAACTTAGCAAACAGATATTAGCTACTTATGTTACTTCCAGCTTGTTAGTCATGGACAAACATCATGACTCTCTAACATTAGCAAATTGTCATACCACATAAGTTGAAGTAATACATATGAAAGCGATTAGATACCATGGACCATTGACTTGGACTGAAGCAAAGCCCTGCCCAACCACCCTCTCCAACACCACAATCTCGAGGTGATACTGAAAATGTGAGCCTATCAACATCTGAAATAAGTAGGGAGAAGCGCAAATCAAACGTTAACCCATAAAAGAAATCTGAGGGAAGCTACTAAGGCACAAAACTATAGCTATTATGTTGTAATTCAATTTCTAACATGGTACAGATGTCCATGAATATACATTACATATTGGAAGATGAAGGTAATACAGAACAAAGGTAGTCGGCTTATTAGCTGTGTCCCTAGTGGACTAATGGAGACATATATTGAATGAGCATTACATTTCTTTTGAAAATGCAAAATAGTATAGGTAGAAAATCAATGCATTTAAAATTGTGGAGCGCGTGACTGTTACATAAAAGTATCAATTACAAACTCAGGCCCCTCCTAGGGGGAAGCAGAAAGTGTGACCCACCTTCAGACAGGTCTGCACTGTTAGATTTGTCTCCATAATTCTATTGGAAATGAAACTAGGACTATTGGAAAGAAATATAATAAAATCAAAGCCCAAAGGAATATACACAACCAAAAAAGAGGGTACCTTTACCACCAGTATCCAACTTAGAAACAATAAGGTGACCATAAGAGTCCACACTTCCCAAAATCAAGTAACAATAAGGTGCAAATATACTCAAATCAGTTAAAAACTCTAAAACAAAACCAAGATCATGTCTTTTTCTTTTCAGTTTGTTAGTTTCACGTGAATTTGAAATTTAATTCAGTACACATTTTAGAATCATGTTTATAATATCAACATATAGGCTATAGCAATAAGAATGAGTGACAATTGATACCTGGAAAGATGACACTAATCTTAGGAATAATAAGACACTCAATTTGTTTCATTCTTCCAAGAATTGAGCATTGAGCTCTGTTTTTAGCTTCAAGCCTTCTTTCCTAGTTTCACTACAACAAAAAGCACCAACGGCGACTAAAAAAATGAATTTCGTCGCTAAAAGTTGCACAAATGGCGACTAAATCCATTTTAGTCGCCAAAAATGAAGCCTTTTGGCGACTAAAACCATTTAGTAGCCAAATGTATATGTATTGGCGACTAAAAATCAGTTTGGTCGCCTATTATATGGGTTTCAGCGACTAACACAATTTTCGTCGCCAAAAGTGATGGTTTTTGCCGACTAAAACAATTTAGTAGCCAAAGGTAATTCCCCTATATAGCTTTTCAAATTCTAGATTTCAAGAAACAAACATGATGGTTTAAACACTGGTAAGATAGGCAATTTATGCCCTCTGAAGATAATACTAAAAATGATAATTATAATGAACAACTCATTCCACTCCTCATCACGGCGAAATCACACTAAAGTAGTAAAGTACTAGTATTTCAGCCTCTAGGCACTGTTATCTATTCTATGCTAATTAAAATTTCTACCAATTCTGTTCATGCAAAGTAATGATCCTAAACAAGACAACCCAAAGTCAGAACCAAAAGCGATCAATTCCTTGACCAGTGTTGTCACTTGTCAGAATGAAAATTCAACATACTGCAGTCATCATCAATTCCTCAAGAGCTCAGTATCGAATAAAAGATCAAATTCCCAATCCACCAATCAGAGATTCCCATGTGGGTTTTGGATTTCAATTTGAAGATACCACCTTAACTCATAAGCTTAAGAAAAAACCAAAAAGAACTCCATATATACAATCAATTTGTCAAACCTCTTCAAACCTCTTAAAAAGAACATGATGGATTTGAAATCTGTCAAACCTGCACTACAAAACATGAGAAAATTCTATATATACAGTTAACCAACAAGAGATTAAATTGTAAACAGGATGTTCCTTAGAACTCCTCATCTGCGGTATAAACAATTAAATATGACCAACTCATCTCAATTGTGTGCCTTAACAAAAATTTATCACTCAAGTATATAGAACCTCAAAAATTTAGCTGAAACGACAAAAATGGACATAAAAAGATTTATCACTCAAGTATATCACAAAAATTCCATTCTAAACACAAAAATTTATCACTCAAGTATATAGAACCTTCGCCATATCCAAGTCTATCCTAGCCGACTCATTCAGCTAAAAAGATTTGATTCAGATTCAAAAATAATTGAACACGCTTGTATAATTACTAACATACATACATGCAGAGAAGACATAATTACCAACATTTACATAATAAATGCGGAGAGCCAATTACACACCTGCATAATTAAAAAATATAGCTATCAATTTAGTTGCTTTGTAATCAATATCTAAGTATATGATGCATAGACAATGTGAAGTATAATTGTGAGTTGTGGGAATGAAATAAAATCCATTTGTTCATTTTCTTTCCTCCTCTGGATTGAAAAAAAAAAATCTAAACATCTTGAATTGTACAATAGAAATATATATCATTATCCTGTAACGGTTGGGAATGGTGGACTTATTTGTAGCATAGAAATATTATCCTGAACACTCACTATCTTTGAAGAACTGAGTGAAAGTGAACTGGATCAAGAAGCCCTAAATGGAAAAAAAAAACACAAGCAACAAACAAACCATGAAACAAAAAATTGAGATGTGTGTAAAAAACAATTATATTATCAAGAGTTAAAAGAAATCAAACACACTGCAATTAAAGCACCAAAATGAAATCTTAGTGTGTTGAATCAAGCATAAATAAAATTCCAATCAAAGATCCACCATACCTCACAACAAGTTTGCAACATGTTGTAACATATTGTTTTCATGAACAGGGAGGGCATCAATCACTTCACATCTTTCTTCTTCAACTTTGAATATTGCTCTGATAATGCTCGTGGGGCTCACAACACCAAATATTAATTCACATCATTTTTGCGTGAGAGATCTAAGAACTCACTCCTGCCCTGCCTTTTATACCAATACCACTATACCCACCAATTAGCAACCCAAATACATATATATATATATATACACATATATATAGACATATGATTGATTTAGAGTCGAATTAGGATCTAAATACATATATATATATATATATATACACATATATATAGACATATGATTAATTTAGAGTCGAATTAGGATTCACAATTTTGATAAACTATATCAAAATTTTTGAGGGATTGTCTCGAATTAGATTGTCAGTCTCTTTTTTCACTCGTACGTACCAAGCTGTATTGAACCTAAATCTCAAAAAACATTGAAACCCAGAAGAGGTTATCAATACCAGAAACCTAAGAGCAGAGAATAAGATGACAAACCCAAAAGAACTCAATAAAAAATGGACCAAAAATGCAATCAAATTTCCCCCTCACCGCAATATATATATATATATATAGAGAGAGAGAGAGAGACAGAGAGAGACCGAGGGAAAAGGCTAGAGAGGGAGAGAGCGAGAGACAGACCGAGAGTGAGAGAGAACCTGTGAGGATGCGGCGGCGGCGGTGGCGGTGGCAGTGGCGCTAGCAGTGGCGTGCGACGCTGGTCAGCGATGAGGTGAGATTGGGTGAGGATCCCCCAGAAATGAGGAGTCCATTAGACAGAGGGAGAGGGCGATGGCGATGGTGATGGCGAAGTGCGACGGACGTTCGCAATGGTGGTAAAGGACATCGGTGAGCTAGACAGAGTGGGCACCGATTGAGAGAGAGAACACAGAGAGAGGGAGAGGGCGGATGAATATACTACACAGATACACAGAGAGCGAGTTGGAGACAGAGAGGAGATCAGGGCCTTTTTTTAAAATTTTTTTTCTGTTTTCCTTGTACAAAACGACGTCGTTTTGTAATTGGCGACCAAATTTTTTTTGTCGCCAAAAAATTCCATTTCCCCCCTCCATGTTTCAAATTTCCCTCCCCAACTTTTGGCGACCAAAACACCATATTAGTCGCAAAAAAGGTACCTTCGCCAACAAACTTTTTTAGTCGCCAAATCTCGATCAACGGCGACTAAAATATTAGTCGCTAAAAGTATTAATTTGGCGACTAATTTTTTTTGGTCGCCAAAATGTAACCTTTCGCGACCAAATTTGTTGTTGGTCGCCAAAAGCATACCAATTTCTGCGACTAACTAATTTTTGGTCGCCAAAATTTGACCTTCTACGACCAACTCATATTTGGTCGCCAAAAATATTGATTATTCGCGACAAATTAAAATTTGGTCGCCAAATGTTATTTTTTTGCGACCAAAATTTTTTTTGTCGGCAAAAGTGGTCGGCAAATGTGTAAATTCTTGTAGTGTCTGATTCATGTTTTTGGCCGCTATTCATGTCTTAATATGAACTTTATGGTAAATTGACTAGATTATTATTGTCATTTTTACTCCTTTGAACTATCATTTAATATCATTATATTTCCTCTAACTAAAATATATTACATTTTGTCACATTGCACTGTCAATTTGTACAAATTTAAAAATTATATTAATAATCCGTTACATAATTGGATCAAACATTGACATGTAACTTACACACGGTATCTAAAATGTTATGAAATAATTTATTATTAGTAATTGTGTCCTCGACCAATGTTTATACTGGAATAACAAAGGTAATCATTCTAGTATTTGGAAGGAGAGGCATAATTTATATTTTCATTGTTCTGAAATCTGAATTTGGGTTTAAAGATCTGCGAAAAGTATTGGGGCTCAACGTGCTGATTTGTTTCCCTTTGAAAAAATGTTCTTATAAACAATAATTTATTTGTATTTCTTTAAAAGTATATTCAATCTCTCTTTTTCTGTTTTATAAGTTAGACTTGGTCTAGCTTAATTGTGGTCTTTTTCCCTTTCCATTTCAGTAAATGTGTATGTTCCCAAAGATAGAGTCACTAATCTTCATCAAGGATATGGCTTTGTGGAATTCCGAAGCGAGGACGATGCAGATTATGTAAGCTATGCTTCATTGCTCGTGTCATTGGTTATGCTTTTTGTACTTTCTTTATTGTTCATCAGTTATGCTCTTTGTATTTATTTTACTGTTCTCTTGAGTTTTGCTTTCCTTACTTGCTGGTGGCTGTATGATCAGTTCTTTTTTATAATTTTATTTATCTATTATTTTTTAAATCCACAATGCAGGCAATAAAAGTTCTGAATATGATTAAACCTTATGGGAAGCCAATAAGAGTGAATAAGATGTGAATGTTTATCCTCGTCATGCATCATTTTCTGTTTCTTTATGCTTATGCTTAGGATATTGCCACAGGAGCCATCATTAATGATTTCATGGTTTGACTTTCAAAGCCTTTGTTTGAATTAGATTTAAAATCTGATCAATAGTTTTATCTTGTTGTTTTTGGGTTCCAGGCATCTCAAGATAAAAAGAGCTTGGGTGTTGGAGCTAACCTTTTTGTGGGAAACCTCAATCCTGGAAGAAATTTGATACACTCGAATGTATTTTCATGCCTTATAAACTGTTACATGCCTATGACACAGTTTTTCAATTTCGAACCTGGCTTTGATTTTCTTTGCAGGATGTGGATGAGAAACTTTTGTATGATACTTTCAGTGCATTTGGAGTCATTGCTACAAATCCCAAGGTCAAACTTCTTTTCTCTTGCTCACGTATAGTTGTGTTGTTTGTTTCTTATTGATATATATAATAGAACTGAGGACATGCACTGCTCTTCCATCCTTAAAATCTTATCACTATGTTTTCATTCGTGCATATTATTATTTTTAGTCCTTTGGTTATGAAACTTAGTTTACATTATAGAGATTGTTCTTTGTTTTGCCCGTGTGTGCTTTCTTATCATACGTTCTTTGACTAGGGCATGAACAAATTGACAATGTTTTAATTTTTTTGGTATGGACTAACACAGTAGTTTGAGATAATATGTGGATTAAGAGGATTAGTCTTTACCATTTTCTGTTGGATTGGGGGAATGGGTAACGTAGGTATATTAGACAGTTGAGAACTTGAACGTTAAGAGAAACAAGAAGAAGACAATAGGAGGAAAATTCTTGTCAGTTGCATCCAAATTCGTAGGCGCGCGCACACACACACACATACACTAAAGAGAGTACGTGCAGATTTTCAGTCACGAATTGAGATTTTGGAATCTCAATTGCAAGCTGCGGGCGTGCCCGTTGCACCAGTTGTTGCACCCTTGAACCCAATACATAGGCAGCAGGTATTTTCATTATTTTTACTAGTTATTACTTTAAATTGTCCAGAGCTACTACACAACTTAAGCCTCTTATTCAATGATAGGTTGTTGATTCACTTAGTAGTCGTCCCACTGTTCGGCCAATGTCACATCAACAACAATCTCATGCATTTTCATCCCAAGAGGTGAGCAATCATTTAATCAAAGCTTTTTTGACAATACAATATCTTATTAATTACAATACTTGTCCTTATTAAATATAGGTTCACCTTTCAAAGAAAGGGAAGAAGAAGAAGAAGAACTAACAAGGTAAAAGTACTAAACATCACTAGTTTTTAATTTTTCACTTTTCTAATTCTATTAAGACATGATGTGATTTGGTGTTGGAAATTAGTGAGTAAGCCAAATCAACCACATAGTTTTATATATTAAGCTTTTAAATATGGCATGGAATTAATTCTATTTCATTTCTTGTACTTGTGATTTGGCTGCAACTGAAACGGAGCCTGATTTTGTCATGGACCTAGTCAGGTCTTTCTTATCAGCCATTGTGTAGTTGGTTAGAACATTATGAGTCTAGTATGTAGACTTGACGAGTCTTCATATGAATTCTGTAAGTGGGTTAATGTATAATGTCCCATTACATCATGGTTATGTCCGTCTGACCCTTCCATATTTAATGGAGACCCTTACCTCATGGTTAAGTTACAATTCTTTTTTTGTTGGCAATCAAAAAAAAAAAATAAGAGAAGAGCATAGGCCTTGTTGATTCATGTTCAATTTGAAAGTTAAGGATCTTGTTTAATGTGTGTTTTCCAGATAACATTATAACCTGTAGCTTTTCTAGTTCCATTTGAAAGTTGAAGTCTCATATACACTGAAGAAGGGAGAAGTGTTTTGAAATGATTTTAAGCACTGCAGAATTATTGGCATCTTTTCATTTAGCTGATTTTTAGTTGTCATGGAAGTAGTGTTTTCATTTATGCTACTTTCCTATTCTATGAATCCAATTGTTAGAAAGATATGTTGGCCACTTAGTTAGGCAGATTTTTATAGTAGATGGAGCTTTGTGATTTAAAGTTGCCAGATGTAGAGAGGGAGTGTATTACTTCACATCAAACTTCTTTCAAAGTGCATGGGAAGGATGTCATTAGTGGTGTTGGGGAGTTGATTCCAACTAATAGTTAAGCATGAATATTGAGGATGAAAGAGTTATCCATATTTGAATGTCTCCTAGTGTCATTAGATATTTATGGGTTTCACTTGTATTGGCAATGCTCTTTTTCTCTGAAAATGTGCATAGGATAGATTAGGGACTTTTGAATTCTAAAGGAGAAGTAACTCCAAAATATTTTGGCTCATCTTTGGTGTTTGTGAATTGGGTTTTGCTATATCTTTTCTAGTTCAAACTTTGAAATTCTGATTGCTGGTTTGGGTGTGTAATTGAATATATTGATTGGATGAAACCATTTATTTGCATCACTTTTATTAATTTGCTTTGCAAGTTCTGATTCATATTTCCCAGTAATTGAATCACTTTGGTTGGATGAAACCATTTATTAATTACATTTTTTGGTCCAAGTAGAATGCAGGTTGTTTTTGACTTTATTCTACTGCTGGGACATTTGCAGCTATTTTGGGAACAGTCGGAGCTGATTTTTTTGCTGAATTAATGGGTTCTTTCTAGGAATTTTTGTATTTTTCTACTGCCCTATTATGGAACTTATATTCTACAGGAGAGAGAGAGTCAATTTGTGTTTAAAGACAATTCTAATTGCCTTCTATATTAGATTGTTGTTGGATGATTGAGACCCCAGTTGCTTTTCTTTTGGAGTGGTAAAATGGCATGCTTTTTGGCCTTTCTGGCTGCTGTTTGTTTAATGAGAAATCAATAAACATGTTGGGAAAACAACTATTTGTTCCTGCACTTCTTCCTAATTTACTTTTATTATTTTTTCAGCACTCAATTGAGAATTTGTATCTCTGGAGATCATATGATATGCTTGTTTTAATTCCTCTGGTTTTGGGCATTTCTTGTGGATATGTGTGTTGGGTGAATGGCAATGTTAAGTTGGGAGTCTTGCACCGCTCACTTTTATGTACATTAATGTAATAGGAAGGCTTTTAAACATAGCAACTTCATATTAGTGTTAGTTTTCAGTTTTGTTACAGGAATTTTTTAGTTCAATTATATAAAATTAGCACAATTAAAAAAAAAAAAAAAACAAGGCTATCCCGGCATTTCTAAAACGTCGCTAAATACCACACCAACGGTTGTATTTCTTTTGAAAAAAGAGATACGACGGCATTTTAAAACGTCACTAAATAGCACGGTGATGTCATGTTAACCTTAGTAGAACTTTTAGAAGCATTTTTAGAAAACGCCACCTATAGTCATATAGCGACGTTTCTAAAGCGCCATAAAGTTATAACGACGGCCGCGTCTTCGGCGTTTGGTACCAAACGTCACAAAAGATTTTGACGGCGTTTTTAAGACCTATCGCGGCGTTTTTTAAACGCCTCTAAATGTTTGATTTCCAGCAGTGATACTACCATAGCTTCCCCAACTTTGTGAGGTTGATTTTCATCAACACTCCATACTTGGAGATTCTCTACCTAATTGGTACAAGGATCCTAGTCATGTTAATGAATGTTTGAGGAATAAGATTTAAAAAAGTAATGTTTACTTGAATTGCATTATCCTCAGAATGTCAAATATGCTCTAATAAAAATCTATATTTCAGTTTCTAATCCTGTATTTTTTATGTACCTTTGTATATCTTATCAAATTTCTTCTGCAATACCAAACATTCTATGCAGAAAATAAACCGTGAGTTGGGGACAGGGGACATCTAGTCATGTTCCTGTCTCTCAAACTCTGGTATCTGTTGATGGTGCTTCAAAGGTATGTTATAAAAGTAAACAAAAATAACAGGTTATTTTGTCACGCGATCTGATTTGCTTTGCTTAGACAAAAGGGGGATCTATACGGTAGTGGTTTAAATGCAAAAATGCATTTGCGTAGAAGAGATGTTACCTTGTACTTAAGGGGAAACGGGCCGACGTGGTGTAGATCTGGTCAGCAGTGGTGCAGATCTGGGCGACGGATGGTCCGATAGCCGTCGGTTACTGTTGTCACGCGATCGAGTCGATGTCACACTTTTCCACAGCTGTGGCGGTACTGCACGGTGAAGGGTGCGACGGATCTCCGGCAGTCGTTGGTGTGAGCGTGACATAGTGGACTTGATTCTCCGTCTAAGGGACTGTGTTGGTTGTTCGAGGACGAATACAGGTTGGAGAAGGAAAGGGAACTTCGTGTGAGAGGATAATTGTGATACATCTGTGTTAGAGGAAGGAATACAAGCAGGGGCAAAATTGTATTTTTACCCTCTACAGCTTCAGACACAATTTTGCCACCCAATGCATGAAGGTAGGATAACTTTTTGGCTTTTTATCTTTTTCTGGAGATGCCAAACTAGCCCTTAGAGAGGGATTTTAAAAAAGAATGAGAAAAATGGTGTAAAATTATATGAAATATAAATATATTTTATTCATATTTTATCTTCTTTTTTTTTTGTTTGTTTTTCTTTTTTAAATTTCTTCTTAAATTCTCAAATCAAACTCACAGTATTAGGGTACAATTGGAAATTGGAATTGGAATGGGTCTCCTCCCCAACCAAGGACTAAGGCCAAGTTTGGCATGAGACAAAAAAGACAAAAAGTTAAAAAATCACTATCCTATTTAAGTCACATCATCTTATTTAAGTCACATCACCTCTCTAACACATCACTTCAAACCCAACCCATATTTTATAAAAAGTCAAAAAGTGCACTTATTTAGTCTTCCCAAACTAGGCCTAAGTCCCAAACTGGAGTCCACAGACATCCAAACCTTTTCAAAATGAAAATTAGATAACGTCAAAATATAAAAAGGGTAAATCATATATATATATATGATATATATATACTAGCTTATGGTTTCGGGCACGATGTAAATAATGTTAAGATTATAATATAATTGTAATCTCAACACTATTTAAATTTATTTTTTAATTTGATAAAATCACAAATTTATTATAAAATTTTGCAGTTCTGACAAATCTCCTCACGAAAACTCGTTTTTGCTTATATAATATATAGCTAGATAGGACCAAAACAATTTGAACAGATCTAAGCCATCCAAATGTCCTAATAGGACAAAAATATGTTGAAGATTCAAAAACTATCTTGGTTTAATAAAATATGTTGAAGATTCATATGAAATCTAAATTTATGAAGTCTATCAGGTATTTAATATATTTAAAAATAATAATTAATTGTTCAAATTCATTTAATTTGTGGACTATAAAATTAGTTAATTTAATCTCCACTACACACAGTAATATTTGGCTCCTAATTATGGGATCGCAGACGTTTCCATAAAATATAATTGAAAAATAAGTGAACAAAAAGGAAAATATGTATATATATATACAAATAGAGAGAAAAGCAAAAATGAGAGAAAATAAAAAAATAAAAAGAAAAGAGAGAGAAGGTGGGATCATAGAAAGATGGGTGAGAAACGGAAAAAGTAAGAGAGAAAAACGAAATTAGTTAATTTAATCTCCACTACACACAGTAATATTTGGCTCCTAATTATGGGATCACAGACGTTTCCATAAAATATAATTAAAAAATAAGTGAACAAAAAGGGAAAAAAAAAATACATATATATATATATATATACAAATAGAGAGAAAAATAAAAATGGGAGAAAATAAAAAAAATAAAAAGAAAAGATAGAGGAAGGTGGGATCATAGAAGGATGGGTGAGAAACGGAAAAAGTAAGAGAGAAAAATGGGAAAATAGAAAATGTACATATAGGATATTTTTTGAAAAATATATCTCAGCTGTTATTTTATAATTTAAATAGATCTGAGCCATCCAAATGTCCTAGTAGGACAAATGTGTGTAGGATAAATTCAAAAATCATCATGCTTTATTATATAGATGTTGAAGATTCATATGAGATCTAAATTTATGAAGTCTATCATGTATTCAATATATTTAAAAATAATAATTAATTGTTCAAATTCATTTAATTTGTGGAGTAAAAAATTTATTAATCTAATCTCCACTACATACAGTAAAATCTGTCTCATAATTCTGGGATTTTTCCATATAATATGAATAAAAAAATAAGTGAACAAAAAGAAGAAAATAAAAAAATTAACAAATAGAGACAAAAATAAAAATGGGAGAAAATAAAAAAATAAAAAGTAAAGAAAAAGGAATGTGAGATCATGGGATCATAGAATGATGGGTGAAAATTGAAAAAGTAAGAGAGAAAAGCGGGAAAATAGGAAATGTACATGTAGGAAATTTTTTTTAAAATATATCTCAGTCGTTGTTTTATAATTTAAATAGATCTGAGCCGTCCAAATGTCCTAGTAGGACAAATTTGTATAGAACAAAGTTAAAAACAATCCTGCTTTATTATATAGATGTTAAAGATTCATATGAGATCTAAATTTATGAAGTCTATCATGTATTCAATATATTTAAAAATAATAATTGATTGTTCAAATTCATTTAATTTGTAGACTAAAAAATTCATTAATCTAATCTCCACTACGTACAGTAAAATCTGATTTCTAATTCTAGGATCTCAGATTTTTCCATATAATATGAATAAAAAATAAGTTAACAAAAAGGAGAAAATAAAAAATAAACAAATAGAGACAAAAATAAAAATGGAAGAAAATAAAAAAATAAAAATAAAAGAGAAAGGAAGGTGGAATCATGGAATCATAGAAGGATATGTGAGAAAAGAAAAAAGTAAGAGAGAGAAAAGCGGGAAAATAAAAAATATATATGTAGGATATTTTTTGAAAAATATATCTCAACCGTTATTTTATAATTTGAATAGATCTAAGCCGTTCAAATGTCCTAGTAGGACAAATGTGTATAGGATAAATTCAAAAACCATCCTGCGTTATTACATAGATGTTGAGAATTCATATGAGGTCTAAATTTATGAAGTCTATCACGTATTCAATATATTTAAAAATAATACTCCCTCCATCTCAAAATAATGGTCACTTTTGGGGAATCCAACTTTTTTTTATAGTACAATTATTGCATTTGAAAAAAGTTAATTTTCCAAAATTATCCTTTTGATAGTATATTTTTTGGGAATATCAATGTGATAATTGTACTTTTTATATTGTTTATTAATTTAAAAAAAGGGCAAAAGAGGAAATTTATATTATTTTTGTACTTGATTTTTGAAGAGGAACAAATATTTTGGGACAATAAAAAATGGAATAAGGGACTAATATTTTGGGACGGAGGGAGTAATTAATTGTTCAAATTCATTTAATTTGTGGACTATAAAATTCATTAATTTAATCACTACTACACATAGTAAAATCTGGCTCCTAATTCTGAGATAGCAGACTTTTTCATATAATATGAATAAAAATAAGTGAATAAAAATGAGGGGGGAAAAAATAGAGAGACAAATAAAAATGGTAGAAAATAAAAAAAATAAAAAAATAAAAGAGAGAGAGAGAGAGAAAGGTGGGATCTTGGGATCATAAAATGATAGGTGAGAAACGGAAAAAGTAAAAGAGAGAAACGGGAAAATAGAAAATGTACATTTAGGATATTTTTTGGAAAATATATCTCAGCCGTTGATTTATAATTTGAATAGATCTGAGCCGTCCAAATGTCTTAGTAGGACAAATGTGTGTAGGACAAATTCAAAAACATCCTACTTTATTATATAGATTATTAAAATTAGTGGTTCTTTTATGCTTAAATGGCACATTATAAGAGTTTACTTTTTTTTTTCTAAGAGAGTAATTTTTTTAATTACATATAGAGTTCTACACAAACTCAACCTAATTTAAATTATACTAACTTAATTACATGTAGAGTTCTACACAAACCCAACCTAATTTAAATTATATTAACTTTATCTATTTTGTATGTACTCAATTTAACATATATTTTTTTTCATATATTTTTCATGATAAATTGAAAAAATTCATAAACCCAATACTAATTTGCGTTTCACGTTTTTCTTTTTAAAACTTTTAAGGATATTAGGATTTTTTTTTTAAATGCTAAATTGTCTTTCTTTTCTTATTTTCCCGTGCATTATTCTATATCATATACCAATTCTATATTATGAATTTGTCGTTTAAATTTTACTGTGATTCTATATATAAAATTATACTT